GTTGTTATTTTCCCTTTTTTGTTTGGTGTCCCTGATTTGGGGACGCCACACAGCTCTTTCACTTCTGCTTTTGTTACTAGTTTTGTGTGGTGACAGAGCTATGGCATTTCCTGTCTGTCTCGTGTTTATGTTAAGTCTAGTTTCATGTGAGCACATTGCTTCTGTGTATTCCTGGCCATGTGCTCTTCTGTCTAATTGTCAGCCCCGCCTATCTCGTTATCTGTTTAGTGCTTAACCTTCAACACCTGTTGTGTCATTAGCCTTCTGTGTTTGTTCTCTATTTAGTCTCTGTTGTGTTTGCAGTTCAGTGTTGGTTCGTTTGTCCAAGTACCCGGTTCCTAGCGTTTATTTTCATGATCTGTATTTTTCCCGTTTTCCCCCTTGAGGGAGTTTTGATTTGTAGCTTGTGTTTGTTTGTTGTTTCATTAAATTCACCTTTCACTGCAATTGCATCCACGCTTCCTGATTTATCCTCACGTGAAAGAAAGTGTTTTATGGAAACCTTCAAAACTCTTGACAGTTAAGGAATTTGTATTTTTATACCATGGTTATTCTAATCATCCTTTTCTTGTGTATGGTATACAGAATAACAAAAGCATAGCTGGTGGAGGATTGAAGAAGTCGTGCCCTGCATGCCAAGAAAAAATATTTAATGGATGTAAGGTCTGCCCCACGTGCAAGACAGCACAGCCGCAACATCTAAGGCAGAAAAAAAAAATATTGAAAAATTCAAGATGGAGAAGGAGTCTTGGGTGGCTAAGAAAAAGAAAAATCAAATAACATCTCATTTAATGGATGATGTCGTGATTTTGGTAAGTAACTTGTGCTACATTACCATAGTACTAATGTGGCTTCAAAATTACCTTGGTCCAGGTGGTGTGTTACATTATAACCGACTATTCTGAAACTTTAGACTTCTGCTATAGATGTACTCGCATAGAGTCTGAAGAAGTTGATTAGCACGTCAGGTTAGCACATATTTTCAATTGCACATTGTATGGCACTTTTAATAAAGGCGATTGATTGATCAGTTTCAGCATCTTAACTTTAAACTATTATCATTGGAAAAGTGTAAAGAAACAGGCCAGAAACAGTCAGGATCACCTACAGTAGGTGATAGCCCGCAGTTCTGTAACATACGTCAGAGCTCTCCATATCATCCACAGTTTACTCTTCCCTACTGAGTGGTTCATGCAACAAGCGCCATTATGTAAGTACATAGCGTTCAGTTGCGTCTTCTGCTTCTTCGAGTATGTTGCAACCTCAGATGTCGTTCTGTCACTATCTGGCGCAGGTCACAGCTGATGGGGTCATTTTAGCCAGGTCCTTGGGGGGGCGTTATCACTCTCCAGTAGGTGGGTCATTGTCTGTACTGCTCCACAGCTGCATGTGTCTTCTGTCTGGTGGTCCCATGCTTTCATATGTGCTTTGCACCTCTCCTGTTCCACTCGTAGTCTGTTGAGGGTCTTCCAGGTTAGCCACCCTGGCGGGACATTCAGTAGGGGTGATTCCTCTCTCCATCCAGTCCTGGGCTTGTGTATTTAGCTGGTTCCATTCATCTTTCCAGTAGGGATGTAACGATTCACTCGCAAACGGTTGAAAATCTATAAAAATGTGTTTTAAACAGCAGGGCGCGTTTACTGTATAGCCTACTGTGAAGTTGTGAACCTCGCTTTACAGGCACAATAGCAGCGAGCACACACTGGCGTGAAGCTAACGAGTGTTTTCACTTCATTCATGGAACTTGATCTTCTGTGAGCCAAGCTCAACTTCCATAGGAATGAACTGAAAATGCTCGGTTTACTTCGCTTGCGCCGCGCCAGTGTGTGTGGTGTGCACGCGCCATCAAACAGTAGACATGGCGACGGCAAGCGTAGATGTTGACGTTGACCCATTCAAATCGGAGGTGTGGTGGCATTTTGACTTTCCGTATACTAATAATAATCACCACCGTGAGAAGCACCAGTCACCTCCGTTTTCATGTAAAAGTCATTAATACGACAATTGCGAAAGCCACGGAGATCACAAGGTTCATCAGTGTTTCCGTGACAACCAGATGTTGTATTTATTTTACTATCTCTTTCTCTAAATGTTTTTATTTTATTTTTTACTCTTACTAGTGTAATGATACAAATTGTAACAAAATTAGAATCTTGCCTTTATTACAATGTAAAACCCCTGTCAATCTGGTACTAATTTTACATAGTGTGCGAAGTTACCAGTGTCCAGCCTCTTGACCAAACAGACAGAAAGACTTGAAAGAAAGAGTTGAAAGAACTTTGAAGGGAATTTTTTAATGTAGTTGTATTATTTGACAAATATATTTTAAATTAAAAAGGAATGTGCAGCATTTTGTCTGAGAAATAATAAAAGGGACACTTTTGTCTTAAATCTCATTTGTTAAAAAAATCGTAAGAAAATCGTATCGTGAAACAAGTATCGTGAATCGTATCGCATCGTGAGATGAGTGAATCGTTACATCCCTACTTTCCAGATGTTGTCCATGCTGTTTCTTTGGTTGTCTGGAGGTGGGACTGTCTGCAGGAAACTGGATCTGGATTTCAATCGTGGTGGAGGTGCTGTGTGTCCGTGAAGGGGGTGCCTGGTGTCAATCTCCTGTGCTCTCCGCTCGTCTTGGGCGACGTTGTATCATCTTATGTGGGATGTGGGATGTGGGGGCGGGGATGGGGGGAGCAATGCCAGCTAGGGCGTAGAGGCACGGGACTGGCGTTGTTTTTATGCATCCCGTGATAATGCAGCAGGTGTCGTTGAGGGCTGTGTCAATCAGTTTGGTGTGGTGGGAGCGGATCCAGTTTGACCACGCGTATTCAGCTGTGGGGAAGCACTGACTGGGCCCTTAACCAAGACATGCTGCTACCATCCGACCACGTTACTGAGTGAGATTCTCTCATTGCACAGAATATGATGTGTTTGAGTAAGGGAATGTGATGTGTGGTAGACCAAAAACTTTTAACCAATCTCTTATTAGGGCTCTTTACATGAAGATGCTCTTGGAGGGTTATAGTTTCAATTCAATCATGCTCTGTAGAACAGTCTAAGCCAGACAAGAGTAATACCCCTACTATGCTACTGTACTTACACGTTCATGCATGCATCATGCACATGAAGTAGACAGGCACACCAAACCCACCCACATATGCTCACACCTTTCCCACATCCCCAATCTATCATCTGTTATATATATCAGCTTATGTACAGTATACATCAGCTCTTCCATAAGTTAAAAAGTGTGCATCTGAGTTGCATCTGAAACATACTGTTGTGGAGCTGGTGTCTGTTACACATAACACTGGCACAGTTTAACGTAGACATAAAGCCCTTATTATTGTTATAATAGTTAGTATTGTTAGTATGTTTTTTTCTTTCAGATCGAGAAGCTGAATGCAGTGGGCTGGAGGCCCATGCTTTTTTATTGAGTACCCCAACAAGGAGGTCAAGATGCTGCTGCCGGAGGGGCTCGAATTAAGTTCGGGGGAGAAGATATGTGTTAATAACATGAACGCGATCTACAGCATGATAGTTGAAAGTGATTCCACATTTACTATGCATTATAACATCTTTAAACAACCCAAATTCTGAAAAATTTAGGACACTGTAAAAACTAAATGACATCAAATAACAAAATTCAAGTATTATGAGAGATATTGGTTTACTTTGCATCACTCCTACCTTTCACATTCTGACCTAATTACATATTGTATATTCTTTGTGTTCCTTGTATTCTTTCAGGAAAGACAGTGCCGGTGGACCCTTCTAGCAACCAGGCCTCAACCGGTAATCTGCAACTGGGTCCAGAAGAGGAGACCATTGTTGTTTTAAATTTCGAGACCATTCAAGACCCACCACCACAACAAGGTGTGCTTAGTATAGCTTTATCGTTATCTTTCATATTTTTATGAGAGTGTTCTTTACCAGCATATTATTATCATTATTGTAATATATATTATTATCATTGTATATTCTATGTGTGTACACCTTTTGCAGAGACTTTCCTTTAAGCCAGCCCTGCCACCACCACCAACGAGGGGGCAGAGATTGGCACTGAGCCTGACTCTGCGTTGTGTATTTTAGTCTTAGAAGCGTTGAAGTGGAAATTAAGGCAGCTTGACAGGTTGGATCAGAGGCTCAGATAGCTGGTTTATTACAAAGTTGTAATACAGCAGGATACAGACTTAAGTTGAATAGTCTATAGTATAGGTGGTTGATGGAGCCGTCTCTCTAGAGAAGCTCTCCTCGGCAGTCAAATCGTCTTCTCAACGAACCAAAAGGTCCGACCAGTGTTATACAGAAAGATAGTCATAAATAATCAGAACAACAGATGCCGGAACAGAAAGATCTAGAAAAGGGTCCCCATTGATAAGGCATAGGCCAATGCTACGTCTGACCATAGACTGCTCGGCACCGGCAAGGTAACCCAAAGTCCCACCAAGTGGCGATGATAGCACCACAATTCGGTGTGCTTAGCCTAGTTATTTGCTCTTCAACTTTTCGTGCCTTCTTTGAAGTTTTTGTAGAATGAGCTTGAGCAGCCACACGTCTATATCTGACCTTCTTGCATATTGTATATTCTGTGTCTAAACTTTAGTGGAGGCTCTTCTGTCAACCAGCCCTGCCACCGACACCAACGAGGGGGGGAAAAATGACAAAACCCCCAAAAGACGCCAAAGGACAAAAGGTGTACCTAATCAACTCAAAGCTGATATTCTGCCATATTTCACTTTATTCCCATTACGTTTGCTATTTAATTTGCTATGCAGGTCTCTGTTATGACATTAACATTATTGATTTAGTTTATTTACATGTGAATTGTACGCATAATATCAATATGTGTGATGTCAAACATACCCCTCCCTCTTTACGGAGTTACAGGTCACAACAAATACATCTAATCTGTAGACTGTTGTACAATAAGTTATATTATATACTTTTTCTTTTTTGTATATTAACATTTGGATTAACATTTCACTATTTGCTTATGATTCTAAAAAAGAAAAGGATTGTCCCCACAACAGCCAAGAGGTGCACGCATATAGAAGTGTGATCAAAACAAGAAAGAGAAAGGTTATTGCAAAGAAAACAATGGATGATTTACCAATACTGATTGATCACTTGTTGTAATTGATAATGTCACTAATTGGCTAATGGCAGTAATTTAAAATTTGTATCAGTGATCCTACCAGATAATGTATTTGTTTATGTTGGTGTTTATGTTAAAAATTTATCTTGTCACACCCGACAAGACACCAGAGATAACTCACCCCCACATTCAGTATTCTCAGGGTGAACAAAATCAACCCATGTTTTGTTATTGTTAGAGATTCTACCAACCCCAGAATGTTTGTCTGCAATTATGGTCTAATTTATGGTGACTGGGCTGCGCAAAATAACTGGAATGTTTTACAGCTCATAAAGGGAATGGGAAGTGAGTGGACCATGAGGAGATATTAGCTTAACATTACAAAAAGTGTTATGCATTTACAAAACGCTCTGAATGGCTAATACTACCTTTAAGTGTAACTAAATGAAATTTAAAGTTGAGAGCAATGTTTATCTTAAGCAAGGCATCCATTTTCTATGTCTTTGTTTGCCCAGGGGAAGATGGAGAAATTGATAGATTGGCTCCCCTGCAAACTGTGGTGTGTTGGTTGTCTTTCACACCAGATACTCACAATTATCCACAAAATGACGGTGTTCCAGCAGACATACACATAACTTACAACAATCACATACTGTAGGCTACTTGTACACACATACAGTATCTCACAGAAGTGAGTGCACCCCTCACATTTTTGTACATTTTTTAATTTATCTTTTCTTTGGACATTTGAACTTCGGGGTATACTCACTTTTGTTGCCAGCCGTTCAGACATTAATGGCTGTGTGTTGTTATTTTGAGGGGACAGTAAATTTACACTGTTATAGAAGCTGTACACTGACTACTTTACATTGTAGCAAAGTGTCATTTATTCAGGGTTGTCCCATGAGAAGAGAAATTAAAATATTTACTAAACTGTGAGGGGTGTACTCACTTCTGTGAGATACTGTAGACCACAACTCAGTCTATATATTGTAACACACCTGTATACCTGCTACCTTATTGGATGTGCACAGTATGTGTTTGGGAATTGGTGGGAGAGTGTTGTCTGGAGTGATTGTAAGTTATAAACTACTGTTGATGCAGAAATGTAGTTCTTTTTTGTAATGTTATGCACACCATAATCCATGCTTGCATATCTGTTTGATCTAATTACTGCTATCTTAATATTGTTTTTGTTCATTTATGACAACTTTTTATTCATTTGTATGTTGAGGCGGTAACATTTTGTAAATTCAGAGTGTCAGGTGCCAGTTTTTATATTTTCATACTGTGGATTATTCAGATCTTTGATTAGTCGTTAGATTGTGCATACTTTTGTTCGAATTATGCTTGACCAGCTGTCCCCTTGCTAACTAAACACCATTGTCTGTTTTTCCATATACACCAAATTTTGTCACTATTGGTGTCATTTTATAGACAAATTCACCATAGTGTTTTTAATTGGTATTATTATGACATTGGTTAATCTAAATGTCCCTCCACTACAAATACAAATCAAACTGGAATACAGGTTACAATGTAAACATTACAGCTTTGATTATCAAGTGATTATTCATTATTGACATTTTTACTAATCATCTCTTACCCTTTTTTTTCCTAGCGGGAAAACCTGGCCTCCAACCTGGGAGGCTGCCTGACACACACACACATACACACACACACACACACACTCACTCACTCACTCATTCTCTCTCTTTCTATTTCTCTCGAATAAAATAAAATCAACTAGCCTGGATGCCAGCCCGAACCCCGCCCACAACATTTTTTGGTCGGGAAGTTCGGTCTGGACTCGATCCATTGAGGAGTAATTATGATCGGTTCAGAATTAGTCGGGCCAATCAAATTGCCAGGGCGGGCTTTATACGATGATGGACAGATGATCTGCAGTTACGTAATCATCACGTTATCAAAGATCGCTTGGGTTGAACTGGTTTCCCTCAGAGATGACTGCAGCTGGAGAACTGAGATGTAGAGATTCCGCTGTCGCGTCCGCTGTAAAAGAAATCGACAGCGCATTCATTTTAAAAGACGAACAGAGAACTGCAATCAAGGCATTTGTCGATCGGAAAGATGTGTTTGCCGTCCTTACTACGGGATTTGGCAAAAATTTATTTTATCAGCTGGCTCCGATGGTAACTAAGAAGATGGGACACAATGAAAACCCTGTGGTCGTTGTGGTTTCTCCTTTGGTCGCACTCATGGAGGACCAAGTAAAAGAATCAACAATCATTATTGTACTACTTCTTTCAGCGTGCGTGTAGTTGAGTTCTCTGTTGACAACTTTGCGTAGCTCATAAAAAAAAACACTTACTGCATTACTCTGATTGGTTGTAGGTCTATCCAATTGAGTGCAGAGTTTTTTTTTTTTTCCTGGTTCGGTTAAGACACGCCTCATAATCAAAGCCCTATGGAGCAGTATCAGACATTCTGACTAGAATATGAGTATGACGAAGTCAGGCTAAAAATCAACAAATGTTATGCTGAGTATTGTTCTTTTGTAATCTTAATTTCTAAGTTAAAAAAAGGCTAATACTGAAATGACGTCACAATTTTGAACCTTGCACCTATCCTAGCATGATGCTGTTTAAGCTGATTTGTGTGCAGGGGAGTGGTGGTGGCACACATCAGTGGCGGCTGCTGGTCTTTCAAACAGGGGAAGCTCATTTTCGGACTTCATGATAAAAATTGTCCATTTATTTATACGTTTTTTTTATTTATATTATTTATTTAATGATGGCGCAGACGCAGAGGAATCCAATTGCAGCTTTATTGAGAATGGTCAACAGGTTAAATCAACAGCAGACAGGATCAACAGAGGGAGCAAAGAGCAAGACAAGGTCACAGGCAAAGGTCAGGGCAGGCAGCAAAAGGCAAAGTCCAAAGAGCAATCCGGGTCAAGACAGGCAGAGAATGATCAGAGGTCGAGGTACACAGTCCTAGTTGGCTACGATATCAGATCAGCAGACACAGAGATAAACGCTTGGAATTGTAAGCAGGGCCAAGGCAATACTTCTTCTTCTTCTTCTTCTTCTTCTTCTTTCCGTTTTATGGCCGTTCACTCCTTTGGAGTATTACCGCCACCTACTGTATACCTTGCGCACATGAGTAATGGATCTGATTAATAAAAAAAAATAAAAAAAACTAATAATAATAACTAAAAAAAATATATATATATACATATATATACACATATACATATACATACATATACATACATATATATATACATACACATATACATACATATATTAACATCCCAGAGTATCAGAGCCCGAGCTTCAGCTGACGCTGCGTGTTCAGCTCCTCCAGCTTCCACACTAAGCTCCTCAACCTCCAGGATGACCAGGGTTCCTCTTCCTCCTCAGGCTCTAGATCCTGTGATCTAGCCCTGTAAGCTCTAAAAAAGTTATCACGTCCTTAAACCTCTGTCTATCACTCAAACCCTTACCTAATAGGTCCATGATACTCACTGGCCTGTTCTTTATATTACTAAAAAGACCCCTACGCTGTTCTTCATATTTACTACACTTAAAAAACACATGTTCTACTGTTTCAATAACACCACATTCATCACACATACCATTTCCATGCTTTCCCATTAATGCCAGTGTTGATTTTAACCCTGTATGACCCATCCTTAGAAAGGAAGAGGTAATGATTTCTAGACTATGTCTTCCATAGCACGATTCTTTGTTCCCTACTGATTTTACAATACTATAATACCACCTACCTGTACTGCTACTTTCCCATCTTTGTTGCCATATTCTTATTATTTCTCTATTAATTATTGATCGAACTTCATTTCTTCCTAAAGGTATCTTAATATCTACCAAGTTTTTCCTTAACGCTTCTTTTGCTAATTTATCTGCTGTTTCATTTCCTAATATCCCAATATGTGCCGGCACCCAACAAAAGTATACAATTATACCCTCTATGTTCAGCCTATATAATAATGTATAAATTTCTACTATCAGGTCTTCTCTATCAGTTTTTGTTGACAATATACTTTTAAGTGCTGATGCAGAATCTGAGCAAATTACAGTCGCCATCCTATTCGGCTTAGTCTGCTCTAACCACTGCAATCCTACTATTATAGCAGTTAGTTCTGTTGAATATACAGACATTTTGTCACTCAACCTTAAACTTATTTTCGTCTCAAATTTTGGAATATATACTCCTACTCCCACTTTTTGTTCGACTGGGTCTTTAGATCCATCTGTATAGATCTGTATACAAGAATAAAAATGTTCTCTCATAAAACCATTGATTTCATAGCTATTAGTATATCTTCCTTCTGCTTTCTCCCGATCCTCCAGGAGTCTCATTTCAACATTAGGTTCAGGAATATTCCACACTGATACCCCTTTTAATGGCATATTGGGACAAATAACTACATTTTCCAGCCCACATTCCTTAACCCATTGTTTATACTTCCATCCAAAACTATTCCCATTATTCTTCTTATATTCCCAACAGTCATTTAAAATTGCTCGTGTGCAATGACTCTTATTACAACCCTGCAAATTAACCCAGTACATCATTGTAAGCTTTTCCCTTCTTAAATCTAGTGGCATCTCCCCCATCTCAACCCTGATGGCATCTAGAGGGGTTGATCTTATTGCTCCACAACAGATTCTAAGTGCCCTAGCCTGTATGTTGTCCAACTTCTTTAGTTCTGATTTTGCTGCAGCACCATACACTGCACACCCATTATTTATACTTGACCGTATTAAGGCTTGATATACATGTAGTAGTGCGCTTTTCCTTGCTCCCCACTCATATTTGGCTATTGAAGTCATGCAATTTATTACTCTTTTGCACTTATTCTCAATTTTCTTAATATGTCTATTCCATGTTAATTTTCCATCAAATATTAGTCCAAGGTATTTAAATTCTGTCACTCTTTCTAATAATTGACCATATAATTTCAAAGTCAATTGTTCCATTTTCCTTTTCTTAGTAAAAACCATATATTGGGTCTTTAATGTTGAAAACTTTAGTCCCCATTCCACTGACCACCTTTCAACTTCGTTTATTGATTCTTGTATTCCTTTTACTACATTCCCTAAGTTCCTACCTCTTTTCCACACTGCACCATCATCTGCATATAGTGCCTTCCCAATACTAGGTTTAACTCTTTCATAAATATCATTAATCATTATGTTAAATAAAATTGGACTGATTACACTTCCTTGAGGAGTCCCATTCAGAATATCATGCATTGTTGAAATTTCTTCCCCTATTCTAACCTGAAATGTACGCTTAAACAAGAAATCCAATATCCAGTTGTACATTCTCCCCCCTACTCCGATTTTATCTAGCTTAATTAATAGTCCCTCCCTCCATAAAGTGTCATATGCCTTTTCAATATCAAAGAAAACAGCAACAAGAAATTCTTTCATTGTTAAAGCTTTTTTAACCTCACTTTCAAATAATAACAAAGCATCCATTGTAGATCTTTTCCTCCTAAACCCACTTTGAGCTGATGATAAAATCTCATTTTTCTCCAAAAAAATAATTTAATCTTCTTACTATCATTTTTTCCATCACCTTACATAATGTAGATGTAAGAGCAATTGGCCTATAACTACTTGATTTTGTTGCATCTTTACCTGGTTTTGCTACTGGTATCACTATTGCATTTTTCCACTCTTTGGGTAAGGTGCCTTCATTCCATATCTGGTTATATACATCCAGTATTACTTTAATGACTACATCCGGTAAGTTTTTTAACATACTATAGCTTATCATGTCTCTCCCTGGTGTTGTATCCTTTGAATTATTAATAGCAATTTTTAGCTCAAAGAGATTAAAATCATCATCCATGTTACTATCAACTTCTTGTTTTTTCCTACAAATATTCTCATACTTTTTATTTAACTCTTGTCTTCTTTTTAAAAACGTATCACTCAAGTTTTCAACACTATGGATTTTAGCAAATGTTTTGGCCAATATTTCTACCTTTTCTTTATCTGTTCTGGCCACCTTTCCATCTTCCTCAATTACAGGAACTTGTTTATGAGTATTAACACCATTCATTTTTATTATCATTCTCCATACCACATGCATTCCAGTCTCTCTCCCAATTGTGTTACAGAACTCCTGCCATGCTTTTCTCTTTGCACTTTTAATTACCCTTCTTGCAGCTGCCCTTTTCTTCTGATAATCTATTACTGTATCTTGAGTTATTAACCTTTTTAAAACCCGGAATGCCTTATTCCTTTCTTTAGTTGCCACTGTGCATTCTTCAGACCACCATGGAACATTTTTCTTTCTTTTTCTATTGCCTCTTATTAATGGTATAGATAGGTTCGCTGCTAAAATAATTTCACTTACTATTTTTTTGTATCTCTCCTCAATATTCCCTTCCATCTTTATATTTTTGAAATTTTCTTCACACAACACACAAAACTCCTCCCATCTTGCCCGTTTAAATCCCCACCTTTCACCCTGATTAAAACTTTGCTTTTGTACGGCACTCTGAATCTCACAGACTATAGGCCAGTGGTCACTGCCCAAATTTTCCTCTTGTACACTCCAAGTGCACTTACCTGCTAATGCAGCTGATGTTACTGTGAGATCCAAACATGACAAGTAGCCTTTAACGACATTCATTCTTGTTGATTTTCCATCATTCAAACATACTAATGAGTGGTCTTCTATAAATTCTTCTACTACTAACCC